CTGCCCCTCCCCTGCTCACTCTCCATCTCTCTTCCTCTCGCTCTCACACACAAAAATAAGTAATAAACATTAAAAAAATTTTTTTAAATAAATAAAAATTCAGTCCCCCATTCACATTCCAGGGTTCGATAGCCACGTGGACAATGAGTTCCTCTGGGCAAGTCAGAAACGGATGCCCCTTCTTTGGAATGGGTTCCTCTTGGGGAACAGAACCCACAGCTCAGCAAGCAGAGCAGGGGCTAGATTTCAGCCTCCACTTGTCCTTTGGCTGGGTGTCCTCAAGCAGGGCACAATCTACGCGGGGTACCCGGTGGCCTGCTGGACAGGCGGGAAAGGCGTTTGCAAAAGCCAAGGGCCTTACATCCATCCCTTCGAGGAAGTAAGTGCAGTGGCCACCTACTTGTGGCCCTCCGACCCTGGTCCTGACCAGCTCTCTCAATAGAAAGTCACTGCATTTAAGGGAGAGGCCGCAGTTTACAACCACATCCTTGCAGGATGCACATTAAGTGCATCTTCTATTTATTTATTTTTGAAAAATATTTGTTTGTTTGTTTATTTACTTACTTATTTAGAAAACGAGCAGGGGAGGGGCAAAGAGAGAGAATCCCAAGCAGGCTCCACGCTGTCAGTGCAGAGCCGACACGGGGCTCGAACTCATGAACCGTGAGACAACGACCTGAGCAGAAATCCAGAGTCAGAAGCTTAACCGACTGAGCCACCCAGGCGCCCCTTAAGTGCATCTTTTAAGCTGCAAAATGTCCAGACAACTGATTAATTCAATTACCTGTTTTTTGCCTACGGCTATTACTGTTTTGCATATTCAGATGTGCAGCTGGGAAGGGTGCTGGATCATTTCCCCATAGCCTTTGACTCTCTCATAGCCAGCCTCTGGGTTTAAAATTTTTTTTTTCTTAACATTTATTTATTATTGAGAGACAGAGAGAGATAGAGCTTGAGCATGGGAGGGGCAGAGAGAGGAGGAGACACAGAATCTGAAGCAGGCTCCAGGCTCTGAGCTGTCAGCACAGAGCCTGACGCGGGGCTCGAACTCACGGACTGTGAGATCATGACCTGAGCTGAAGTCGGAGGCTTAACCGACTGAGCCACCCAGCCTCCCCAAAAATAAAATCTTTAAAAAAATACAGAAGGAGAGGTAACTGGGTGGCTCCCTTGGTTGAGCGTCCGACTCTTGATTTCGGCTTGGATCATGATCCCAGGGTGGTGGGATTGAGCGCTTGCCTCAAGCTCTGTGCTGAGTGTGGAGCCTGCTTGGGATTCTCTCTCTGTCTCTCTCTCTGCCCCTCCCCCTCACTCATGCTCTCTCTCTCTCTCTCTTTCTCTAAAATAAAATTTAAAAAATTAAAAAAATATAGAAGGAACGATGGAAATAGCAGATCACCAATTGGCAAGTACCACTGTTATAATTGTTTTAGGAAGGAATTATTAATGGATGCTAAAATTAGTGGCTGAAAGTTTGCTGAAACACAGGATATTTGCATAGTCTCAAATATCACCTCACGAGATTCTTATTAATTACAAAAAGAAAAGACAAAGAAAGAATAATTTTACCATGGAGAATCTTAGCAGATACCACCTTAGTAAGGATCTGAGTCAATATCACCAGTTAGCGAGACATATGTCAACATCATCTGCCTCCTGATACCCCGAGAAAGGTACAACATCACTTCTGGGGGCATTCTTCCCCAAAGCGCATAACTTCTCCATTTAATCCTGAGGAAACACCACATGAACCCAAAGTGCGGGACGTTCTATTAAGTAACTGACAAGAACTTCGTGCGGGTGTCAATGTCATGAAATCCAAAGACAGAGGAACTATCACAGACTGGAGGAGAGTAAGGAGGCATAATGAGTAAATGCAGTGTGGAATCCTGGATTGGATCCTTGGCCAGGGGAAGGGCATTCATGGGAAAACTGATTACGTTTAAATAAGGTCTGCGGTAAATAGTGTTGTATCGATGTAATTTCTTTTTTTTGACGACTATGCCATGGTTATGGAAGATGTTAATGGATTAGAAAGCCGGGTGACGCCTACGCGGAGCATGTTTTGTACTGTTTTCAAGTCTCTTTCCTTCCCTGAGCCTTAGTTTCCTCGTCTGTAGAGGGGGGCACTTGCTCCAACGTGGATGTATTCATGCTACAAAGTTGTTTTTGCTGTGAGTAATGGCAGCTCACGTGTCTTGATGAGATGGTTGAACTGCTACAGCTTCAGGAGGGTTCTACCCTAATGAGAAACATCTGGCTGGAAGCGACTTCCTCCCAGCCATTCGCTGTGACCTGGCCCAAAGAATAATAATGCCAGCTTTGTGGCCGGGCGGCTGTTGTCAAGGAGAGGGCGCCAGATAGCACAAACAGCTGGTGGGAGTGACATCATCTCCAGGCCTGGCAGAAAGAAAGGGCAGGATGAGACACAGACGGGGCAAAGGGCTTCGTCCGTGACCGTGAACATGGGAAAAACAACTTCCCACATAGGCTATCCGTTGTCAATTGATGCTGTTTTCAGTTTCCAGGTTCACTGAAGGGTTTAGCACACACCATCCAGGAACACGGTCATTTGCTAGACAGGGCGATGTATTCATTGGAAGGAGAGCTCCTCACAGGCTCTTTCTTTATAGTTTCCAAAGCATCCAATTAGAAAACGCAGCCATGTGAGCCCAGCGCTGTCTGCCCCATTTTATGCATGGGGGGACTTTCCAGAGTCAGAATCCGGCTGCCCTGACCTCCAGCCCTGCAGTCACACTGCCCACACTAACATACACCTCCTGGCCACCTGAAAGCAGTGGTCCGAGGAGAGGAGTCCGGTGAACACGCCACTGAAATGCTGTTTTCTGGGTGTAGACCTCACCTCTCCCTCCTAGATTCTCAAGCGGAGAAAAATAAATAGGAAAGACGGGCGGCCGGAAATAATCAGGGCATCGGAGTTTAGAGGGACCTGGGCGCCAGTCCCAGCTCTGCAACTGACCAGCAGTGAGACCGGGACTGGGTTATTTTTACCTCTTTTGGTCTCAGTCTTCTTATCTGTGGGTAAAACGGTGATGACGGTCGCACCTGTTCCAGAGGACTCTGCCGCGGGATGTCAGCGAGGTGACGCCTTGTGACAGACGCTCAAAATGTGTGAGTCCCCTCTCTCGTTTCTTTCCTCAAGCGCTTTTCATCTGCTGGATGGAAAGCTAGTTCTTTCACTTGGGAAGTGACGATTAGTAACTCAACCTCCCTCCCCAGGAACAGAATGGGTGGTGTCTCTGTGGCTTTGAAATAAACACAAAGAGCAGTCAGGTCCTGAGACATCCATGCAGTCCAACCTTCTGATCTTAGAGATGTACGTACTGTAAGGCCCGGAAGAGTGGTCTGCAGAGATCACAGAGAGTCAGTGGGCAGAACCAGGGCAGGCATCCTGCCCCCTCCAGCTGCCCTGCTTTTGGACACACTCAACTCTTTGGTTGAACTTAGCACCGTCCCAGGCGTCGAGGACTGCCCATTCCCTGGGCCGGGGCATCTGATGTGCCGACTGGTTCCTGCCCACTCTCTCTTTCAGGCTGTTGTTTCGGGGGTTGTTGATTTAGGGGTGGGTGCAGAGCTGGTTAAGGAAGAGGGAAGGGGCAGGACCATGGGTTTTGTAGACTTCACTGAAGGTCATAAAGGATTGGGACGAGCGACTGACGGGATTACCATCGACGGGGCTACTAAAGCCGTCTCAGATCATCCTCACAGCCTCACTACAACCTTGCAGGACAGGTATTAACCCCCTTTTCCAGACTGATGGGAGCATTCATTCAACATCTGTTTTCAAACACCTTCTGGGTGGCAGGCATAGTGTTGGGGACATAGCAGTGAACAATTCAGGACACGGTTTCTGCCTCATGGAGTTTCCAGGCTAGAGCAAGAGGAAGAATTTTTTTTAAAGCTTGTTATTGATTTATTTTTAAGAAAGAGATAGAGAGCAAACGGGGGAGGGGCAGAGAGAGAGAAACTAAGAGTCAAACGCTTAACTGACTGAGTCACCCAGGTGCTCCAAAAGGAAGACTTTTTTTTTTTTTTTTAAACACAGAAATATATAATTGCAAACTGTGATTGCCACAAAAGAAAAATCTGAGTTGCTAAGAATACAAGAAAGGCCTTGATTTACGTTAGGGGGTTAGAGAAGGCCTCTTTGGGAAAGTACACTTCCACTCAGGCGTGAGGAAACTGAGGCAGAAGGAGGACTTATACATGATTACAGGGAAAGTCACCATCTACCTGCTCACCCATCTTTTCAGGTCATTTTCATCCAGGATCCTTCTGACCGCCTGCAGAGGAAGGTAGCAATGCTGAGATGGGGAGAGAAAGGTTGACTTCACTGGCCCAGCTCTGTCAAAATTATCTGTGTTTAGTGATTGATCTGTGCATTAAGAACGGCAGCCAGCGTTGTGGAGAGCCCCGGTCTAGCTGGCAGGAGCCGTGGGTGTGGCTGCTGTCGACACGCTTACCGTGCACGGCTTTGGGAGAGTCATTTCCTCTCTCTGGGCCTCAGTTTACTGATCTCAGGTGCGCTTGAGCCCTAAAAGGAATAAGGGATCCCTGGTGAGAGATTGGAGGAATGTTTCCGACCACTGGCTCAAAAGGATGAGCTTATTTGCTTCAACCTAAGTGTGCAAATGACTGCTTGAGGTGGGATTCCGCAGGTAGGCTTCTTCTCAAGTGACGTAGCCCGGGATTATCTGAGTTTCAGCTCGAGGCGGAAGCCTTTTGGAGGCACAGACTCTAAGGTTAGGGGTCATTATTCTAGAGAAGCACATACTGGGTTAGGAACTTCGAGGGTCGGTGAACTTTGAGGGTTGGGTTCCCACCTCCCGCTTAAATTAACGGACCAAGGCCTGCCTTTGCCCTCAATAAAGATGGCGCGTGCCCTGGCCTCGGCCTGAGTGCCCTCACAAAAAATGGCAGCCTGCCTTTCTTTCCTTAGTCTTGCTGGGCAAGTGTGAGTGCTCTTGCCCTTAGTCAAGATGGCACCCGCCCGCGCTTCCCTGCCCTGCTTCTGGCCCCTGCTATTCGGCTTCACCGCGCGCGCCTCGATGACCCCGCCTCGTTTCCGTAGGAAGAAGCGCCGGGAAAGATGGCGGCGGCTGCGGTTTGAATTCCAGCGGCGCCGCCAGAGTCCGAACAAGAGCAGGATTGGAGGGGGCGGGGACCTGGGGAGTCTGCGGGTCGCGACAGCCGGGGGAACCAGTTGGCGCCGCCGCCACGGACACCAACGCCACCACCTTCTCTGTGTCCATGATGGAGTCGGTGTTGGAAGAGGACGTCACCCTCCCCGGGACGCTCGGCGGCTGCAGGTGCGGCCCGGGCTTTGCAGGGGCGCGGTGACGCGGCCGGGATTCCCGCTGATGGGGGTACACCCTAACGGAGACTTGGGGGTTTGCTCTTGAGGGTGATTGAGGGCTTCCGGACGGGGGCAGTGTGTGGGTTGGGGTCTTGGGGTAGGTGTCTCGAGCACCTATAGCAGCTGGTACTGAGTGTGGGGTCGGGGGTGCGGGGTAGGGGTCCTGACCCGCCTCACACCTCCGTGGGGTTATTTCGAGACGTGCTTTGAAGAGGGTGTGAGGGTCAAGTAAGGGGGTTCCTGAAAGAGGGTGGCGAGGGGGACCTCGGGGTGTACCATTAGTGGGGGCTGGTTGAGGGGCAGCGCCCTTGGGGGCACTGGAGGTTCATTCTGATTTGGGGGTTTGCTTTTATCGTGGGGAGGTAGTTGGTTTGTCCCGACTTTGCTCACCGGCTCACATAGTGGCCACCAAGACGGAGGCAGTGAAGTGCAGCGGTTAAGAACCTTGGCCGGAGTTGGCCCGAACTGGGTTCAGATCCCACCCTTTAAACCGACTAGTTGGGTGACTTTGGTAAAATGATTGAGCCTGTTTTCCCGTCTGTAAAATGGGACTAGTAGTAATATCTACCCAACGGAGATGGGATGAGGATTAAAAGAGAAGATGCCTTCCCAGTGCTTGGCACAGAACCGGTGCTTGAAAAATGATCCTGTGTTACCATTACATCCTCCTCCTCCTCCTCCTCCTCATCAGTACTACAGTTTGGGGAATAAGGGCTGAGTGTGGCCTCCCAATGCACCTGTCCCAAGAGGCTGTTGGAGTCCACATTGCTGGTGGGGCCTGGTGGCTTTCTTTTTGGCAGGAAGGCCTGACAGAGCCCTAGCCTGCTCCAGGGCTGGGGCCCTTTGGTTTTCTGGGCCTCCTGCTGGAGAGTGGGGAGAAGGATGTGGACGAGAGCCCTGACTGAGAATCTGCAGTGTTTATCCAGCTCTGCCAGGGAGGGGCTGCTGGTTTTCGTCAACAGACCCTCAGTGAAAGGGTTCCCTCGTTATCTACTGTGCAGTCCGGGGCAATTTTAAGAGTGACGTGGGCACAATTAATATTTATGCCTAGACAGCAGTCATAATCCGGTCCTATCTTGGGCAGACCTGGACAGGCGGTTACTCTGTTTGAGAACCTGTTATATATCAGGCGCAGAGCAAGGCCCTTGGCAGCTCCTGCCTGATTGGATCCTGTGGTAGTTCAAGTCCCTTTCTCTTCATCTTACTACCACCGCCCCAATCTTATTTGGGGATGACCTCTCACCAGCACTGTCCTTGATACTAGAGTTTGAAAGCCTTTTTAAAATGTGAATCTGATAGTCAGTCTGCTGCGTTGTATGTTTAATGCTTCTCTGTGCCAGTAAGATAAAGTCCATTGTTTTTCTCTCATCTCTTCCTGTCTCAGTGCCATCTGACCCACACCCAGGTGGGTTTCGATCCCAGTTCTCTGTTTAACAGCCCTGTGGTCTTGGGCAAGTCTCTCGTTCTTCGCTCGCGAGCCTCAGTTTTCATCATCTGTGAGATGGGTGAATCTGAAGGGGCTTTGGCCGGTGTCTGACACGGAGCAGCAGCTCCACGAGGAGCAGATCCTCCTCCTTGTCTCTTCTCCCTGCCTTTGCTGGGACCCTGACTAATCTCTTCCCTGCTTCAGACCCTCCCTGGTTCCCCACGCCCCTCAGGGTGAAGTACTTTAATGTTGCTTCCAAGGTCCTTCATTAGCCTGGCCCCATTGACCTCACTACCTCCTTTGTCCTTTCTGTCCCTCCCTGTCTCCTCCCCAAACACTACCCTCTGCCTGGTTGCCAAACCCTTTGTCACAAATGGCCTTGCCTTGTTCTTTCTTACTGTTGGGCCCGTGTACTCACTCTTCCTGCTGCCCGGGGTGCCTTCCCTGCTCCCCTTTGCCTTATTAAAGCCTCTTATTTTTCAGGTCTCAGTTAGATTTCAATGC